CAAACCTCATTTTATAAGGAGTAAGGGTTATTTCGAAAGAAGGGTTTTCTTTCGAAATAACCTTGTCTAGACTGCATTTCTTTTTTCTAAATAGAGTATTTCGAAATAGTGCCTGGATGCAATTATGCAAATAAAGCACGGGAAATTCAAATCCGCGCTTCATTTGCAATTTCGTTCGTCGGCATTTGCATTCCTCTCTTGAAAGGGGAATGCAGTGTAGACATCCAACAGTTTTATTGGAGCATAAGCTTTCATGAGCAAAGCCCCCCTTTGTCAGATGCATGTCATGCATCTGACGAAGTAGGTCTTTTCCCACGAAAGCGTATGCTCCAATACATCTGTTAGTCTATAAGGTGCCTCAGGACTTCTCGTTGTTTAGGAATGGGAAGATATGCTTTATTGAGATCTCTAGAGTAGAGTCATTTGCAGAAACTTCCTGGATCAAAATAAGAGTTTTCAAATGGAACTGTGATAGCTTCAAGAGAAAATTTAGAGAGGAGATATTTAAGAACACTCAAGAGCTTCCTGCTCCCTTTTATTTCCGAGGGATAGCTGTGTTAGTCTGTTCCATAACAACAGAGAGTCTGGTGGCACTTTAAAGACTAACAAATGTGTTAGGGCATTAGGGCACAATTTTTCGTGAGCTATAACCCACTTCCTCAGATGCTGAAGAGAAAAGAAATAAAATTATCCCTTCCTTTTTTCCCCTTTTCTTTTCAGCATCTGAGGAAATGAGTTGCAGCTCATGAAAGCTTATACCCTAATACATTTGTTGGTTTTAAAGTGCCACTGATTCTTTGTTGCTTTTGTTTTATGAAATTCCTGAATAAGTTCCCTGGAACTGAGGGGAATATTACAATAATCCCTTCAAAGTCTGTAACACCTCTGACCAAATTCAACAGAAAACACAGTTACTCACCTTTGCAGCTATTGTTCTTCAAGATGTGTTGCTCATATCTATTCCAATTGACGTGTGTGTGTGCTGCATGCCTGGTTACCGGAAAGTTTTCTCCTAGCTGCACCCATCAGGTCAGCTGTGGAGACCTCTGGAGTTGAGCTAGTGAAATGTCCTATATATAACCCTGCTGACCCAATGCCCCTCAATTCCTTCTTGCCGGCTACTCTGACAGTGAGGAAAGAGGGCGGGGATAGTACAGCCGGTCCCCGAGTTACGAACGAATTGATTTACGACCACTCGTATTTACGACCAACATCCTATACAGCTGGAACCCAAGTTACAAACAAAATCCGCACTTACAAACAGCACGGCCATATGTCAGTGAATGTAATCCAACTTACGAACACATCGAGTTACAACCAAGTGCTTGGAACGTAACGTGTTCGTAAATCGGGGACCGTCTCTCTCTCTCTCTCTCTCTCTCTCTCTCTATATATATATATATGTGCAACACATCTCAAAGAACAACAGTTACAAAGGTCAGTAATCATTTTTCTTCTCTGAGTGCTTGCTAATATGTATTCCAATTCAACTAAGTCACAAGCTTTACATAGGAGGAGGGGTTGGAGTAAATTTGTAGCTGACTCATGTACCACAGCCCCAAAGGCCATATCATGTGTGGGCTGCTGTACAATAGTGTAGTGCGACCTGAAGATATGGACTGAGAACCATGTCATAGTCCTGCAGATTATCTGGAGAGGAACATGGGACAGAAAAGCAGCCAATGAAATGTGCCATGAGAGGTGGTGGAAATAACTTAGTGAGGTCATAATATATGCAGATGCATGCCGTGATCCAGGAGGCGATGCGCTGCAACGAAACTGGCAGACCCTTCACCCAGTTCACCACTGTTTCGAATAGCTATAAGGATTCCAAAAGGGCTTAGTTTTGTCAATGTAGAATGCGAGAGCTCACCTGACATCTGGGGAGTGAAGCCACTGCTCCTGCGGGCTTTGGTGAGGTTTAGGATAGAAAACCAGGAGGAAAATGTCCTGGTCCGTGTGGAAGACAGATATCACTTTTGGGAGAAAAGCTGGGTGAGGATAACAACACTGAACCTTGTCCTTATGGAACACAGTATACAGAGAGTCTGACATGAGGGCACGGAGTTCTGGCACCCATCTGGTGGAGGTAATGGTGACAAGAAATGCCACCTTCCATGAAAGGTCGAATAACAAACAAGTTGCTAGAGGTTCAAAGGGATACGAAGCACTTGCAAAGCAAGAGAACCACAAGTTCCAAGAGTCATCACTGGCGGTAAGAAGAAACTGAAGGACTGTTGGGTTGGCAGGGTCATATATAGGGCATCACATCTGCGCCACTCCTGGGGACTCCATAACTAACCCAACGGGTAGCAGCTGAGGTAAAAACTTTCCGGCAGCCTTACAGATGGCGCGTTCACACCTCAGTTGGAATACATATGAGCAATCACTCGAAGAAGAATCAAACTTTTGGCTCTATTAAAAAAAAAGTTGCCATAAAGAGATACCAAAGAATGAAAATACCAAAGAATGTGATTTTTTCTTGCAACTGTTTTGTTCCAGGAGAGATGGCAAAGCTGAGTCTATCACCAATTGCTTCTCCTTGATGTTTAATGGTGTGGTGAATGGAGAAAGGTTTTCTTGGTCTAGCCCTTTGTAAAAGATGAGATGTACTTCTTGTGCCTAGAGAAATGAAGCACTAAGAAATTAGTCTCAAAAGGCTTTGTGTGAGAGAGGAAATTTGTTTATGTTGCTGAGGAAGATGGACTACTTCATGACTGTAGATAATATAATAGCATTAGCCTAGCCAATACCACAAAGATACTGGCCCCTGACGAGAACTGAAATCACACAGGCTCTCATGGGAAGGGAAAGCAGAGGAAGATTCCTGGAATATAAATCCATAAACACTTCGAAATTCCAAGTCATAGACACTTCCAGGACGGAGAAGGTGAAGGGTATTGGAACAAGGCCTGCAATGGCAGTGGCAGAAGAATCAGAGGACGACTGTGAAAGGCTCCTTGAATGGGAACTGTGAAGGCCTTTGACGAGGCCGAAGAGCTGTGGAATGTCCAGGCATCACAGGAGCTAGACCATACCCAGTTTGCTCTTTCCAGGAGTCTCCTTCATTACTTCAGCCTAAGCAGGGTGATTCAGACTGCATAAACTAGTGCACCAAAGTCCAAACCCTTGCTAAGGAGTGTGTGAAAATGAAAACAGGCAGGACTGGGCTGCTTGATGTTTCTGGTCATGGATCCTGGCAAACAAGGTTTGAGAAGACTGGACACTGCAAGCAAGAGAAGAAAGGAACAAGAGTGGAAAAGAGATAAATGAAAACAAAACAACTAAGTCGATATGAAAGGATGAAGAAAGCCCTGAGCACAGGAAACTGCTTGGACCTCCTGCTATGGAAGAGGATGGGAGTGAGTCAATCCTGGGCTCATCCTCTGCTCAGTACTGTGGGTCCAGATGCACAAACTACTCAGCCATTTCTGTCGACTGGAAGCAGCACAGAGGAATCTGAACTGGCAGATGCACTCTGCATGGGAACCCTTGCCCTTTCTCAGAATGTAAGAATTTTAACTTCAGAAAATGAAGGTATTATATAAGCCTGTCTTTTTCTCCTCATACCAGACACAGATAAGCAACACCTTTAGAATACAGATCAGCCTTTCAGCCTATCTTGACATCAACAGTTGCAATTGTATATCATACTCTTTCCATTTGTGTGATCGTAGAAGCTTTAATTTTAAAAAAAAATCACATCAAATATCTAAGCCAATTTTGTCTATCAAGGCCTTTTGAATGGAACATTTGGGAGCTTTAGTCACCTAATTTTTGTTAGAGAAATGACCTAAATATTAGCTTGACATAAAGAGGAAAATGTGGAGCAATGTATGTAAGCTTTCTATGCACTGCCAGGCAAAAGATCATATACTCAGGTTTCTCCACTGAGCAACTCATCTCCCCCAGCTATGCATACATCTATAAAATGGGTATGATATTTTACAGGGAGGCTGTTAGGTATAATTAACTGTGAAGAAAAAGTTATTTGATAATGAGCCTGAGTACATAATTTTTACATAAAAATATATGAGAGTGCCATGTGACATACAGGACATCCCAACTGTGTTGAAATACAATAGATCAAACTCCAAGCATCAAATCCAAACCCTGCATTAGCAGGTGCAACTCCCATTAACGTCTATTATTATTATTTATACTACAGTAGCCCCACTCCACTAGATACTGTAGATATAGAGGCAAACCCAGCACTGAAGAGCTTACAGGCTAAACAGAAAAGATACGTGAGAAGGGAAATCAACACAAAGAGGTGAATTTACTTACATGAGGTCACACAACTGGCAGAGCTGGGAATACAACTTACATCTCCTGACTTTCAGTACACTGCCCCATCCACTAGACCATGCTGGATCTCATCACCAGAAACTGGACTCATACCAGGGATGAGTTAGTTGCCATGGTTAATTTGTTTCAAGATCAAAAACTAAGACTGACCATAAGCTACATATTTTTCAGCGGTTACATTTTTATGGTGTCTCATAGATCAAAGATATTTTAAAATTCATAGATTCAAATACAGGCAGCTGTCTTCCATTTGCTTTATCAGTTTTCTCCCTTCCCCTCATTGGAAGAACTGCCATCAATAACTCTTACGTGAATGGAATGTTATACACCAGGACCACTGACAAAAAAAACCTTATATTCATCCCCTCAATTATTTAAGAACATAAGAATGTTCATACTGGATCAGACCAAAAATCCATCTAGCCCAGTATTGTGTCTTCTGACAGTGACCAATGCCAGGTGCCCCAAAGGGAATGAACAAAACAGATAGGCATCAAGTGATTCATTCTCTATTGTTCATTCCCAGCCTCTGGCAAAGACATGCTAGGAATAACATTTTCCTCTCTTTGGACCTTTATTATCTGATAAAATGTAAATATACATGGTCACAGATCTGAATCCCTCCTCAGACATTATCCATATCTATTCACAGCTATTGTCCATAATTTTAATGTCTGTTGTAACAATCTTACCATTCAATAGCCACCAAAGTAATGGAATAAAACCTGGACTTTCATTAATGTACTTCAAGCCTTTCAAGTTGATGCTCACATTGTACAGTGACATCAGCATTAGTCTAAAATAAAATTGAAAAAGTGATTAGACTGCATCTCATACTTAAACATTATTTAGGATGAGCATCTACCAGGTGGCTAGATGCTTATGCATACTTCTAACTTAATATAAGATACAAAGATATGTACTTATGTCACATGTTATATACCTACAGCTACAGGAGTACAACGTGTGTGATGATATTTAAATTTATAAATCAAAATATTGTAATCATGTAAAAGTCAGTCAATTTGACAGCACTTAAATTCCTCTGAATTGAATAGGACTATTCACATGAATAGGGCAAGCAAGATTTGGCCTTACATGATTTATCCTTACACATGTAACTGAATCCTCTTAACTAGGACTCCCCAGAGGGGAGCCTATCGTCCCGATTAAGCTGCTTGTCTCAACAAATGAAAGGGCCACTTTAAAAAGGGTTGCAAAAATTTTGTAACAATGACTATTCTGAATCAAAATAACTAAATGAATTTGCTGCATTTCCTTCATTCTTCTTTTGATCTCTGACAACCTCTGCATTAAAAAAGCAGCTTAGAATTTCACATCTTTAATACCTCTTAATCACCTCACACTGGCCACTCATGCCCTTGTCAAATAAAATGTATGCTAATTCAATTCCAATTAAAGCAGCAGTCAATCATTCTATATCATTAGGTTAAATCTGTTCTATGGAAGGGATCCTGTTAAAGTAGCTGTCCCAAATTAAAGAAGTGCTGGGCATACTGATTTCAGTAGGGACTGATGTCACTCAACACTTCACAGGATCAGGCTACAAGTAAAGCACACTGTAAAACAAAATCCTACAAAGAAGTCATTAAAATAGAAATGGTTAGACTCCATTGTAGTATACTCTACCTGCCAAACAATGTGTCTTAATAATCAGTGAGATCATGAAATTATCCCAGCCAGGCACCATGCCTCCTGGAGTATCATCCTTAAAGGAGGTATAGTGGTATCCACTGCCTCCAAACAAAACCAACTCCATTGGCTGTTGTCGGCAGGGTTGGTACGCTAATCAAGTGCTCGTTAGCATTTGTCATGCTGTCATTTGCATATCTCTGCCGATGCTTTTTGCACATGAGGTTTTTGCTCAAAAACAAGCAGTGTAAACGGGTCCATTTTGCGCAAAAAAACCCTTTTGCACAAGGTCCCATATACCCATATACCATACGGGTTCTTGTGCAAAAAGACTTTTTTTTTGCAAAACAGACCCATCTACACTGCTTGTTTCTTTCAATCTGTCCTTCAATGCATGGTCTTTCAATCTATCCTTCAATGGAAATGTCAAATAGATTTAAAATGACATAAAGGGACACTGTTTGATTGAATTTTTCATTTGCGTGTTTGTTTTGTGTGATTGTGGTGAACTAAGAATCCTGGAATGTTGGGAGAAGTTTCCTGATATTTAAACCCATTTTGCTAGCCACTCAAAAGATTTAAGCCCAAAGTAATAGTATGTTATTAATAATAACACAATGTGAAAACATTCCTTGGCTCTTTATGCCACTCTCAGCTCTACTGCTCCCTCATCATCTCTGTATTTAAACCCACTATTTTTCCTTTGCCCTTATCCCTATTATTATATTCCTCTGACTCTTAGTCCTATTTACCTCCACCCTCCAAGTAACAAAAACTGGAAATGTTTAAGCCAGTCACCACATCTCTGAACTAGCTCCACCTATTTATAAAGTAATTAATTGAAAACAAAAAGTATTAAATCAGCATTTTGTTTGGTCAGCAGAAAAGAGGTAATCTGATTTCTGAGTCTAGACTTGCACTTGTTTGTATAGCTTTTAGTTGTATGGAGCTCTTAAAAATAAATCATGCATCGTATGGTAGCCATACAGGCCTTACAAGTTTGACTGCCAAGTCTACTCTCTCTAACCCTAAGCCTGCAAGAGTCAGTTTTCAAGGCAGAAGTGAGAAAAGAATGTTTTTTTGTCACTTAAAACAGGGTTGTGATGAATCTTTGGTTTGAATCCAAATCCTATATTTATCCAGTCACCTTAATCTGCAAAGCATAAATATCAGTCACATTACCCTTCATTAATATAGTATTGATACTAGAACTGTGATAAATACTCTTTTTTATCCAACACCAAATATTACATGGTAGTTTTCATCACAAGCAGACTATAAATAGATCAAAGATGATCACTATATTATGTAAGATACTGCACAATTTATTGTGGCACTGCTATAAAATTAATTTGGAATTAAAATTTGAGCCACATGAGATTTTGTGCAGTGTCTTCTCTAGGCTGTATGCTAACCCAGTTGGATGGACTTTTTATGTTGCTACTCTATAAACTCGATGTCTTCCTGCCGAGTCTTTGATTTTTCTGTAGACTTGACTTGCACATGTTTTAAAATGCCTGTGGCGAGCGAGGTAGCTGGCATTCATACCATGAGAAACTGTATGGCAATCAGCATTAGTTGCTTTTACAATAAAGAATTTATTTTTAAAATTAATTTCCAAAAGAAAGCCCCTTAATCACTAAATGATTATGGTATTGCAAAATGTTCAAAAATCGAGAGGAACCCCTCAAAAAACTCGTAAGACTGGCTTAAAAATCAAGAGATTTGTAGAAGTCTGGGTTAGGGGGGATTATTTGCCTTACGGATTTTGAACCTTTAGAGGTCACATTTTCAAGCGTTTCTATGCAATCAAGAGGGCTTGAAATTTGCATTTTTTTTAAAAATGGAAATTGTGATTCTCACGTAATCATATGATTCCAGAAAGCAGGGCTTTAAGAAAAATAGCAAATAATATGAAAACTGTCTATCCTGTTTTCAATGCTGACTTCCAAGCCCTACACTTGGGAAACAGCAAAACAGCCATTAAGTAACGCTAAATCAATCTGTAACAATAAACATAAACACTAGGGATGTAAATGGATAACCTGTTAACCAGTTACCTGGTAGGTATCACCCTTCATGGGTAATGCTTAGGCTGCTCCAGCCCTGGGGAGGCTGCTGGCTCCCAGCCCACGCAGGAGACAGGGGGGAGGAGGCAGTGGGGGAGGGACATGCTCCAGCCTGGTCATGGCACTGGAAGCTAACCCCGCTGTGGCTCTGCCTTTTAAATGTATTTGGAGCCTGCCGCTGGTACACAGCAGGAGAGACACAGCGCAAGCCGGGCCAGCTGATTCCTGGCTCGCGCCAGGTACCTCATGCTGCACTTTAGTCTTTTAAATGTATTCAGAGCTGACTAGATTGTGTGTTTGTTTGTTTGGCCTACAACTCTGAAAAGGGGCGAAATTGGTTGAAGGAGGCCTAAGAGCCCACTTCCACTAGATTGTCACTGAATGTTCCTGCTAAAAGGACCAGATTTTGTATGAATGCTATTTTCAATGTAGCCTCCAAAGGGAGCACAGAGTAGAAGAATCACACAGTTAAGGGAGGACATGTTTCTAGACTGATTCTGAAAGGTCAAAGTGGCTTCAAAATTCAATGCCTATTCAATGCCAACAGTGGATGAACTATTGCAATAGCTGGGAGGAAGCTCCACTCAGCAGTTGGCAGCTAGAAAGGGGAGCAGATCCTTAAGTTTCCCAGATCTAAGGAAGAAGCCTTATAGCTGGCAGCATCTTTGTCCTCACAAAAATGGAACACAGATCTCCTATGCCAAAAGAGGGAAGAGACTTAACCCTAAAATTTGTGCTGGCGACCCAGAGGACTCTGCCTGGGGATGTTAAAAAGTGTTCATTCAGATAAATGTATGAAAATTTCAGCAGTTACATATTTACACGCGGGGGCGGGGGCAGGCAAGAGCTGGTGCTCACAGGGAGCCAGTTTTTAAGCAAGCTCCCCATAAGCACTGGCTCCCATGGAGCCCCTCCCCCCGACACCACTGCTCCCCTGAGGCAGCAGTGGGGTGAGGGGAAAGGGCAGGCGGTTCTGCAGGAGCCAGTGCCCGCAGGGAGCCTGATCCCAGTGTGGCAGCGGTGTGGGCAGTGGGGCCCTCTGTGAACTGTTTACACTATCACATCCCTAGAACAGCCTATAGGGTTGTCCTTTTGTAGCCTTTGGATTGTTCGTTTCACCTGTGACTCTGGAAAAGGGGAGATATAGCCAAAAGGAGGGCTGAGAGTCTGTATGACACTGCTAGATTATCACCACACACTCCCATTAAAAGAACTAGATCTGTATGAATCCAAGTCTCATCCAGAAGGGGTGCTCTCATGGGGGCAGATCCTTGACAGGATCATTAGATTAAGAGCTGCAGGAATAATGGCCTACATCAGGGATAGTCAATGGGCAGACCACAGTCCAAACCCAGAGCATCAGAGGCTTTTCAGGGAACCACAGGGCACTCCAGAACTCAGGGTTTCAGCCCTGCCAGGATTCATGCCAGTACTTGGGGCTTCAGCCCCTCCAGCGGCATTCTAGGACTTGCTGCTTCAGCCCTGCATGAAACATACAAGGACTTGGGACTTCAGCCTCACCAGGACTTGAGCGGGGGGACGCGGCTTCAGTCTCTTCTGCACTGCCGGGGCTCAGGACTTCCGCCCCTTCCAGGCATGCTGGGGCTGGAGTCTACAGCCAAAGCATGCAGCCTGGAGCCTCCTGTGGGACTGAAGTCCCAAGCCCCAATTCGTCTGGCAGAGCTCTAATTAGAGAGAGTAGGGGGGAACATCTGCCCCTCCTGAGTTACAAGTCAGTCCTGGACATCTGCCTTGGCTCCCACTGTCAGCCTGGCTCTGTTTAGAGAGGTAAGTGGGAGGTGCAGGCCACCCAGAGTTATATGCCAGCCCAGGCACCAGCTCCCCCAAGCCTGCTAGCACGAAGCCAGCCACTTCTCTACCTGCACTAACCGCACTCACATTAACTGCCTGTGGAATTTCATGATCTGGTCAAAAGCCTTTGGCACTCTGGTTTTGGCACACAGTCCACCTACTGACCACCTCTGCAATGGGCCCAGGGTATATTACACACCATCGTATGCATTCAATGAATAGGGACACATGTGATATGAAAATTGTTTCTCTGGGGTCCAGACTTTAACCACAGCTTAACCAAGAAACCTGGATCTCAACAATCATTGTCTACATTGTAACTTAACATCTTCTTTTTAAAAATATTAGGCCTTCATACACTTTAAGTCTGGTACAAAGTCCTGGCTTCATGTCTCCCAGAAGCTGCATCATTGTGTCCAACAATACCTGACTTGAATTAACCAGGAATTCACGGCCACATGCCAGTGCAGCAACATCTACAACAGAACACAAAATAAAATAATACATTCCAAAAACAGGAAAATGAGGTAGTATCTAATACAATCAAATATTAACTACCTGTACTACTGAAAATGGAGGAACTGTGAAGACTGAGTTATAACATTTACAAACCTTTCCCTATATTTAGCAAAACAGCCAATATTGAACTGTATTATTATATGCTACTGAAGTAGTGAATGATGCCTAGCAGTCAAAATCTGTTTATAATTATACGTTGTTAATTAAAATATGTATTCAGGATGGTTTGGCAACAAAATTCAAAATGCAATTATGTAGTTATGAAACAGGTATGATTTAAGTTCTGAACTGGCAGCATCTAGAATCATTGTGGAAATAGTGCAAAGTTTGACCCTAATGTAGTCTCCGTATTAAAGGACAGAAGATGAAGATTTCTTTATATTTATTCCCCCTAAGTTCCTGGTCAAAGAATACATGTAAAGCAAAAACAGAGGTTAACTTGCCCCTACTCTTACAGGAATGCTTCATAATTCAGTGGAAAGTACTATGGGTAAAAAATGGAGAAAGATTATTACTCTCTTAGGGTATGTCTACACCACCACCCTAGTTGGAACTAGGGTGGTTAATGTAGTCATTCGAAGTTGCAAATGAAGCCCGGGATTTAAATAATCCCCATTTTAAAATCCCCATTAGTGCGGACTCCATGCCCGCGGCTACACGTGGCACGGAGTAGGTAGTTCGAATTAGGCTTTCCACGAGGAGTAACGGTAGTTTGAATTAGAAAGCCTAATTCGAACTACCTACTCCGTGCCACGTGTAGCCGCGGGCATGGAGTCCGCACTAATGGGGATTTTAAAATGGGGATTATTTAAATCCCGGGCTTCATTTGCAACTTCGAATGACTACATTAACCACCCTAGTTCCAACTAGGGTGGTGGTGTAGACATACCCTAAGAGAGTAATAATTCCTCTTGAATACACTTGTACTGTAGGAAGCACAACAAATTCAAATGTTAAGCAATAAGGCATGAAACAATATGATAGCAGCTTGCATTTTAAAAAAAATGAGCCTGACTCCTCTCAGACAGATATAAATCAGGAATAACTTGACTGAAATCTACGGAGTTGAAGCAGGTGTAAAATACGAGCAAGTGAGGTGAGGATCAGACCAATTGCATTGTATTCTGACACACTTTACCCTTCAAGAGAAAAGATATTGTAAGATTATTAGAAAATATATAATTAGTTAGTTAGTCAGTCAGTCTTGCTATATTATCAATCACAAAATGGTTAAAAGGGGAGAATATATATTCATCAGTACCAGGAAGGAAAAAAAATAAAAGTGCAAAAATGTGTGACATTTTAGAAATTACAACCCTCATCTGGTATGGATTTACTGTAAGGAAATCTGGCAGGTGATGTTAGCAAACTTAATTCCTATTTATTCTTTTTACTGCTGTTTTTTTAACATTTGCAGGGTTCTTTTAAGTACTGGCTGTAATACTGACAGACCAGTTCAGTGTTATGCTGAGACACCAGTTCAAATCAAAGTCACAGGCCAATTCACTTGTGTGTGAATATCAAAGAAATGTTATTGTCTTCACTCACCTATAATCTGTTATTACTATTGCATTATATTATGCATACCCTGTTCTTAATTAACCCCAGATCAAAAGTGTATGTTAGTGAAAATTAACTTGATTCATAAATTTCATCAAAACTAATGATGTTTTGGATTACTGTAACTAAATGCATTGTAATTATTTCTGTAATTGGACTGCCCATCAAATGGGACTGGAGCCTTGGATCTATAAATGAAGCAGCATACTTACTTTGAAGTATGGGTCATTATTTTCAACAATGGGAAATCCACAGACCCAGTCTGAATTTAGTATATAGAGGAAAAGCCCTGTGACGGATTTACCGGGTGCGAGCGCCCCCTTCCGACGGGGCAGGGGGGTTCAGCGGACCCACCATCTGTGTCTGACGTATTTTGGGTAGGTGAGTGCGATCACCCGGTACCGGGTCGGTGCCGGGGTTCAGCGGACTCACTGCTCCACCCCAGTTAAGGGTCCTGGGGGTCCCATCGGGAAAGGGGGTCCGGGGGCCTGTTCCTAGGAAAGGTCCTCCCCAGAAGGGGGGGAGGGGGTGACAAGCGTTTAGCTCGCGTTAGAGGTCGCCCGGCTCTCCAGGGGTTGCAGTGTGCCGGGTCTACTGGATAGGCTGAGGCGGCAGGGACAAGGGGAGGGTGTGGGGGACCCAGGCCCGCCCTCTCCACCGGGTCCCAGCCCGGGGCCCTAAGCAGGGTACAACTAGCGCGTTCCCTCCACGACAGGCGGGGACGATCCCTGAAACTCGCCTGCCCATGGGTGCCAGAAGCGCTCTGCCTGGGCTTCTTCCGCACCCCGCTCTCCGCCGCCCTGCTGGGGTGTCCGTCCCAGCCACTTACTGTGCCCGAGCCATCGGCCCCCTC